GCGTGAGTTTTAAACGTTAAATTTAGGGGGTTAATTCACAGGACACAAATGGCTCCAGAAGACTGTTAGTGCAGTTTAACATCGTCTGACCTCAGCTGGAATAACGACGTTTAATCTAAAAGGAAAACAAAACAAAGAGCCAGCACTGTTTTCCAGATGACTTGTAATGCCTTTTTTTTTTTTTTTTTTTTTTTTTTTGCTTTGCTTTTCAAATGGTTCCCCATGCTCTCCCTCCATTTCTGTGAGGATGTCAGTTTTTAGCTGATGGCAGACCTGCCAGATCTGTGAACAGAGAGTTCTCTGTTTCACCCTGATCATTATTCAGGAGAGTTGGGCTGGGGGGTTGGAAAACATTTGCAGATACAGCATCCCCTAGAGTTTGATTGTTCTCTGACACACACACACAGGGTTTTTGCTTTGCTCCAGCATGTCACCAAAGATTCCAGACACAGAGTTACTTGATATAAGAAGTATCTATTGAGGAAAGCTCAGCTGAAACAGCATTCCATCTGCTGCACTGTTCTTTTCTAGTTCCTAGACACTGGTCAAATAGTACCAACCTTGGGCTCATAATGTGAGGATAATTAAAGTCTCATTCAGGAAACTCACGGCATCGAGGCATCATGATTCCCCAAAATGTGAAGCATGCACAGATAAACTATAACATATTGGGACTGGCATTGCAAACAGGACAATATGATTGAATGATTTTACCAAGTGAAGCCACAACTTTGTTTTTCTCTTGCAAATGTCTTTTCCATTTTTCCTGGCTGTTCCCTCTGACTCTCTTTGGTTAATTCTTTCTCTTTGCCTCACATAGTCAGAAGTCCCTAATGCTAATACCATTCAGTTTACCCAAAATATTCTATCAAAACTTCATACTGTGAGGACTGAATTTCACTAGAGACAGAAAAAAAAACAAAAAACAAAAAACAGCCAAAGAACCAAGTTTCCTCCAGATATCCCAGATACCCCTGGGAGTCACTGGCTTTTTTAGAGGGGTGGTAGCCACAGCCTTTAGGTAACATGTAGAGGCAGCGAGCCTTACAAGTCAACCCCCCCAAACAAGTACTTCATTCATGCAACAAACCTCCAACAGTCAATAAAGCATAGCCCTGTCCCTCAAGAACTTAGCGGTACAGTGACAGAGACAGAGAAGCTGTTGCTTGCCATCAGTGTCACCTCAGAGACCTAAAAATCCAACTAGAAACCTTCGCAGCTCATCGGTCCTAGCCCTGTGACCCTTTTTCACAAAACCATTTGTCCCTTGAGAGCACATGTTCTAAAGCAGAGATTCTCAACCTTCCTAATGCTGGGACCCCCTTGATTCAGTTTGCGGTGACCCCCCAACCATAAAATTATTTTCCTTGTTACTTCGTAGCTATGATTTTGCTGCTGTTATGAACTATAATTTAAATATCTGCGTTTTCTGATGGTAAAAGGGCCATTCAACCCCCAAAGGGGTCATGACCCACAGGTTGAGAACCACTAGTCCAAAATCACTGTTCTAAATCATGTTGCAAGAAAGACAAATAGCAAGGAACTCTGACTAACTAGAGGCTTTCTATGCCACCAGGGCCCTTGTGAGCTGTTCCTCCTTCCCTTCCAAAGGAGAACCTCCTTTGTGTCCTGTTTTGACTTACTGATTGAAGCCTCCCCCTCTCTGTACAGCCACACCTAGCTGCAGACAATCTGGACAAAATCCACGATGAGAATGGAAACAATCTGTTACATGTCGCAGCGTCCAAGGGGCACGCAGAGTGTCTACAGCACCTCACGTCTCTGATGGGTGAAGACTGCCTCAATGAAAGGAACACAGAGCAGCTGACTCCAGCTGGCCTGGCCATCAAGGTGACCTCCTGGGGGCTGAGCTGTCCCGGGTTTTGTCTTTGGATTTGATCTCCGGTTTTTCAGATTTCTTGTGAGCTAGGCTATTGAAAGGGGGAGAGGAGAGAGTGAGGCATTAAGCAAACAGAAAATGAATGTATCGTATGTAAGAAGTTAATCACTTCAGTCACTACCACCTGAGATTTTAATGGCACTCCACCTTGTTATCTAATAAGGATAATTTCCAAATCAACCCACAAAGAAAGAAGATGACCCCCGGCAGGGCTGAGAATTCTGTTACTCATGGTGATTGCAATTCGGATTCTTACCCACACCTGGATCTCTCAGGAACTGTGTCAATTTTTCCTAACATGGGAATAAGAAACAAGAATTAGATCAAGGTGTGCTGGTAAAGGAGGCTAGCTAGCACTTAGGAGTTTCTGAAAATAATGTGGGCTTTTATTGAATCAAATCTGAGTTTAAATGTCATCAGCATTAAAACTGTTTACAGCATCATCGAGGATCCTGTATTTAGTTCTCCAAAATAGCACAATGTGCTATCTGTCAAAGTGTATGCAAATCAATGCCAACTGGGATGGAGTTAAAACCTGGACCATAACACAAGTAAACAGGGACCTTTATACCACTGTGGTAAGAGTGTCTGGCGATTGACCGAGTCACGTGAGGTTAGCTATTAAACTAAAATAGCTGTTTGGATCTTTGGCAGATAAATGTAGAATTCAGTCATACTTACTAAGAAGCCAGAAGTGAAGTTCAGAGAAATAGAATACATCTTGTACTTCTGCATATAGACTGCTTTACACGATAGCTGGATCTCCTAAAAGCCAAATGTATCATTTTTATAAATGAAATTGCATAAGTGTTGAATACGAGAACCAGCTAGCTGAAGAAACATACTAGTGAACTAACTAAGAAACACATTACATTTTTAAAATAGTAAGTTTCTATCTTATCACAATATGTCTTGCACATAAAGCTGATTTTTAACTTTAATGCATTTATTAATCAGTAAAGTTTATATGTTAAAAATATTGTTTTATTTCATTTTGTTCCCTAGTAAGTATGACTTTATGACAAAATTTTCATAGTAAATATTTTGTTACAAAGAAATCTCTGATGCTGGGGAATATATTTTTCTCTGGTTGTGAATAAGGCCATGTCAGATCAGAGTTTACTACAGCCCATGTGAAAAAAGAGAAACTGAATTCAAAGGAAAAAAAACTCGTCTCAGTACAGTTGAGTTCAGTGTGTGCTGAAGCAAACAGCTACTGTGTTATTGGGTGCTGCAGGTAAAAATTTAAATAAGACATAGTACCTATTCCTAAAGAGCTGATAGACCTAGTGACTAAATCAGGAACCTTGGTTACTGGTAATGACTGTGTCAGATAGTTAAGTCATCATCTACTCCTCTGACACAGTCCAGTGAGATGACTGGGTATAGTGTGGTTATCCATGGGCATATGTCAGTGATAAATATCCTTATAATGCCAGTCAATGTGGGCATCTGCCATATTTAAAGAATGGCTTAGGGTTTATGAAATGTAATTCTCATTAGTTTTCCAAACTAATGGTAGATGGTTGAATATTTCCTCATTATATAATTGAATGGAAGCATATTTTTTCTTAATTGACATACCTTACTGCTTCCTTTGGGTAGATTAAAAATTTTAGAGCATGAAGGTTCATAAGAAACTTAGTAGCCATTAAGCCAATCCTCAGTGTGAACAGCTTCCATGCTACCTACACATGAAGACTTATTTTATTCCTAAACTTCAGCCACCACAGTACAGCCATCACCAACAGATCTGCAGGTTTACATGGCAATTTCTGTTTTAATTTGAAGGAAACACATACACAAATACACACAGACACACACAGACACACAGACACACACATACACACACATATACACACACACACACACACACACACACACACACACACACACACACACACACACACACAA